TCAAAGATGCTTATCTTCTCAAAATCTCTTCCAAGGGTTATACAGCAGCCACCTTTTGCAATAGAAACTGACAGATGCGATAGAGAATCACATGGTTTCCCTGTAATTTCCTTTACACTTGGGAAATTCCCCTGCAAGTTTCCAAGGATATTGGAAACCACATCCCGTGTCTCCTTTCTTACCTCCAACACTCCTCTTTCAGGAGGTCAATATATAGGAGAAAACGAACTAGTCACTGACCAATTTTGGTCAAAAATGCAGAAGGTGGCACTCCGTTTCGACATAAATTTTCCACTTGCAATTTGCTACAGAGAAAACTACTTACCAAGTTCCACTTCAATTGAGTTGTTCCTTGGATAAGATATTTCTGGGGGTGTTTTTGGCGGGCTCACTAATCAAAAGAAAGAAAGTCCTTTTCAGAAACCTGGGGCAGCTCTGGCCTGCCCTAAGTTCTATAACCCATTAGCAAACTGTAAAGACTTCTCTTATGGACATGCTTGTCAGCAATTTTACAACAGATATCATTCAATGCTCAAAATACACCTCGGATAAGTGCTGTTTCTGATGATAAATATTTGACTCTCCACCTCTTTGAAAATATGTTAATAATCTCTGTGCATTGATGGTGGACTGACTGTCCCATGGGATAAAAGCCTTGCAATATTTTATGCACAGGTGCTGGGTCACACATGGGGGTACATCTACAGTATTACCCACTTCTCCATATCCTGGGTAGCCTGACATCCAAAACCCCAGAGATACAAATTGGAGAGAAATACTTCTAGAGTACAATTCAGCCATTTCTGATTTTTATTTCTATAAATGGGAAATTTCATTTCTATACTGTAGTTAAAGGAATTACACATCTTCCCACAGCACTATTTATAAAGGAACACAACACCAATGGCTTATTTTGGATGTTTAAATCAGGGCTAGATATATCACACCCAGAAATGGGTGGGCATTAGGAGACTAATCAACAGGTGGACATCTAGACAGCTAAACTTTGAATGTCTCAGTTTGGCTCAATGAATTCTGGCTTGGAGGATCCCTAACTCAACTCACGTATCATCTCCAGGAAACTCAGGAAGCTATAGTGCATTTTAGACCATTTCCTGATCGGGCATTCAAAGTTCAGGGAAGTTCCTACATGAACATGTAAATGTATATAAATCCCACAAATTAACAACAAGAAATTATAAGCACTCTGTGTTTATACAGGATTGGTCCAGATGTGTCCTTCGCTCTCCCTTCAAAAAAATGTGCCCAAACTACTGTTTGCATCCAAAATCACACATTTTAGTGCAGACTCACTCAGTCTTGCTTTAAGAACAACTGAGCTGCTTTCAGTCATTTATGAAACCAGAGTGACATGATTTGGTTTTACTTAGTAGTGATAGCTGACATCACACTAATGATGAAGTTGTAGAGACAGATTTTAAGACCTGAATGAGCAGTCCATCTAGTCAGACCTTGTTACTTCGTGGAAGTATAGGTACTGTGGGTACTTATACTTTGTACATATGTGTGTATATATACAAAAACTTACTCAACACATGTACACAAACACACAATTAAATGGGAATACAATCTATACAGAGATCTGAGAGCCTTTCATTAGCTAGAATGTAGAAACAGTACTGGCATTTCATACCTTGATATCATACAGCCCTTTCAGTGATCCTGTATCAATCTCATAACGCTGTGCTAGCAAAGTAGTGCATGTTTTTACAGTTAGGCCTTTTTATATTTTTTTATTTTGTTTTGCAGTTGCGTTGGTGGCCCCCGACAGAAATCAGAGTCTACTGAGCTAGATACCTGACACCAGAAATTGGCAGTTCTTGGGCTGAAGAGCTTAAAACCAAAAACAGAAGAGACCTGGGTTTAAAGGAAACAGACAGGACATACAAAGCCATGACAGTGCTACAACTTGGCCTTTTTTTTTTTTTTCATGGTTGCTCTAGTAGCAGAGGGATGAATGCAGAAGACACAGAAGCCAGACAGGCGGGACAGAAAGGTGCAGCTGCAGCAGAAAGCACTATGCCTCCCAAGCCTGGCAGGGCCCCTTTCTAGGGACCTCTCCAGCAGGCCCAGGCAGCACAGCTCTGACATGCTCCGTCACAGAGCAGGGGAACCAGTCTTCAGTACAGTGGCAGCAACAAACTGAATATGCAATTTCTCAGCCAACATTTCTTTCCCTCATACTTCGGCACAAACAAACAGCTCTGCGTATTCTTATCCATAAATTTGTTTTTCAGAAGTCTAGACAACATTTTGGAACCATTGGTATGAACAAAACAACAGTGATGATACTTACTTACCTACTACACTTAGCTTGATGTCTCGTGAAATGTTATATTTTTTTCCATTGTGGATATATGACGTTTTACATGTATAATTTCCTTCATCATATAAAGTTACATTGAAAATGAAAAGATCCCTGTTTAAGGTGGAATATCTTTTCCCTTCCAGGAGCTGGCAGTCCTAAATGTGTGTAGAAAACTCTGTTAATTCATATCAGCATCTCTTTCCATGGCTTGTCTCTCTTTAGGACAATCTGACTTTTCAAGGGACCACAACATAGTGATGAAGGCCTTGTGGAGGTTGGGAGCAGAGGTAGCATGAAAGAGAAATGGGACTAAAAGCAAAACACGTTTCATTTTGTGCCAGAATTTTTGATTCAAAGATCCTCCAGTTTGTTCCCTACAGAACTTACAATATTAAAGACAGAAAGATGAGAAAGTGAGATGCAGTGGTTGGGATTTGTAAAAGCATTCATTACTGAAGAATCCTTTAATAATTAGACTTGTTGTTTCAAAGTACTCAAGCACTAGTACTTAAACACTCATGGATTCAAGGGCAAGAAGCAGATATGCTACTGAAGGCAGTACATCCTTATAACAGAAAGAGCCTTTAAATAAGCAGGAACAATATTAAATGGCATTTATTTACTGAAACAATATTGAACAGGTACTGAATATGGAATGGTATATTAATAACATTTCTTCACAAGAGTAAAGGATTGTTATAATTTCACTGGCAGGTAAAAACGTGCCACCTGCTGGCTACATGGTTCCACATCTACATTTAAGCTGAATTTCTACCCCATTGTTCAAAAGCCAGAATATATCTTTAAAGACAAAAAGTCTTATTTTCTTCACCTCTCCAATTTGTTTTAAGAACAGTCTTCTCATATTTAAAATAAATCCATGTTTTTTCAACTACAATAACATCAGTGATTCATATTTTATGCAACAGACAGCTATAGCAGTATAAAATGCATAATTCTCACCTTATACCAACGAACAGGCAGAGTATTCTTCTCATCCCTGAAATAATCCAAGTGTGGGCACACAACCTTTCCAGATGATAATGTGAATATCATCTCTTCTACAGCAAATTTTTCATCTAAGCATAAACCATCAACCCTCTCAAACACTGTTACTTTTGTATGCATTTTACTGCAGCTTGTCAAATTCCTGCAATTAAGATAATTACTTACACTTCATTGTATTTTCCAAGTAGAAAATATATAGTACTCTTTTTGGAGAAGAGAGGACCAGAAGTCTACCATTTCTCTAACAGCATTACTTTTGCTTAAGCTTTCTAAATGAGGGAGCTGGACATACAGTATTCTGATGGTTGCTTCTTCAATAGTAAGCTTCTTTTACAGCTCCTTCACCCTACAAAGGCTCACCTTCTTTAAAGTTATTGGTCTACTCTATGTTCCCCACTTACTCCTCCAGAATACTCTCTCTACAGTGACCTCAGAGAATCTAAGGAAAACGAGAACCCTGCATTCCCTAACCTTTTTTATTTTTTTTCCAAATATTTTCTCTCTTTCATTTACTATATCCCTTAGCCCCAAGATTCTGCTTGCTTTCCAAAAGGTATTCGCTTTGGAACTCATTTTTGTAGTAATGCAATTTTTTTTAACCTTCACCTTATGACACATCCATAATCTCCAGAGTCTTCTAACATTGCAGGGAGAAACCAAATTAAACTCTTCTGCTGATGTATTCTAGAAAGCTTGTCTCTAGGCACAGGTGTCTGGTTACCAACTTTATACCATGTTAAATTGTAGTCTCCACTTTTAAAATTCAAGTTCTTTTCTAGTGAGCAATTAACAGCGAGAGGCTGCCCAACAGGCACAAGAGTTTGGCTCAACATCTCGTAGTTGGTATCACATTTCTCTAAAGGAAAACAGATAAACATTAATGAAAATCTCAAATATTATGAAAAAACATGCTTAACTTGTTCCTCCATGTTTACAACGTTCCTTGGAGCTTCCACATTTTTTCTTAAATCAGCTACTAAGAAAACAATTACAATTCCTTGTCTTAAGACCAGAAGTATCACTCAGCTACATGTACAGTTATATAATTGGAATGAAATGCGTTTTTTTGAATGCAGACTTTACACTGCAGCAGAATCTCTTTATTTGTCACGTACTGTCATTTGTATGTTTTAGCTGAGATGCAAATTATTAGATTATTTGTATTTATCCAGTCAGTTTCCTCTGCATGCACCCTAACACACATATGTGCACAAAAATTTAATTTTGAGTGCCTTTATTTGTTAACTTTTCTTCTTAACTGTAGTCAAGACACACATCTTCAAGACACTATTCTTTCAACATCAAAGTATTAACATTTTGAAGTTGTTGCACAAATATTAAGGTTGATAATAAAATCTCAATTACCCCTAACTTTGTGAGCACTTAGAGTGGGATTATTAAAAGCACTCATCACTGAGCTCATTTTCTTCATGCTGGACCCAAGGAGCTTCCTACAGGAAGACAATTAGCAACATCACGAGCACTTAGAAGGGCACCAACTTTGGATACTGTGGTGGCAGTCCAGAGTCAATATTCAATTTTCTAAAATTCCTGCTCTCATTAAAATATAATAACAGCATAAAGAGTCATATACACATCTGTCTAGCCCCAAATCCTGTCTCTGATAACAACCAGTGACAAATGCACAAGAAAAGAAAGTAAGGACGGGGCAAGTAGGAGTAATGCTTTCCTTCTCTCTCACATTCTACATGAAAAAACTATTCATTGCCTTTTATCATTTATTTGGCTATGATATCTCTCTCATTAAGAGAAATAACAAACTTTATCTTATTTGGAGAAAAATTTCTCTTATGTGTCTGCTCAGTGACATTCAGTTTTACACACCTCCATCAGCTCTTGCCTCAGTCCTCTCTACTGCAGTCCTCATTCATTTAGAGACATCTCATACGGAAGCTATCCCATGTCAGTCAGCACTGTCACTCATCTCTTTATCTTTTCTAATATAGTTTTTCTAAGATTGACCAGCATTGCAGCATTCAAGATGCACATTCACCATAAAGCTTTCTATTTTCTAATTTCCTTTTCTCAATAACTCCTGTATGCCTTTTTGCTCACCAAAGTTAATGCTCCTAGGAAGGATCCTGAGATGCCAAACAGCATTTTTCCCAAGTGGCTCTGACTAACTTAATGCTCACACTATTTAAATAAAGTATGCATGGTAGTGATATTTTCCTTCCATGCCACTCCATGTCCATTTTGTTACTCATTGACATTCTATCACCAATCACTCAAAACCCAGAAATCCCCTCCATAATCAGCATTAGTTCTGACCATCAGGGATAACTTTATACTATCCACAGATGTCTTCACCTTGCTATAAACCTCAAAATTATTTATCAAAACACTGAACTGTTCAAACGGCTGTGTTGATTTCCCCATAGCTTGGACAGTTATGAAATGAAGACTAAAACTTATCTTCTGTGGCCAGAGGAGCTGATGAACTGAACTCTTTCCTGCTACTACAGCCCAGTGCTCTAAACAGCATCATGTTTTATGCACTTCCTCTCTGCTCCCTGCCAGCCCAGGCACTCTGCTATCTTCAGGGAGCAGGCAAGAATTTTAAGACACATGCATAACTAAGCAGACAAGGGAAGCATCTCCTGTTATTTGAACAGCCAAATAAGGTAACTACCTTTCTGTATGATTACTGCATTTGCCCCAAAACAAATAAATAAATGAACAAATAAAAACATACATGAATAAAAAAGAGACTGTTCAACAGATCAGTGGGCCCTGGAGCTTGCCCTTTCACAGGCAATAAATAAATAAATAAATAAATAAATAAATAAAACGGAATGTCTTGCTAAAAAATGAGGCAAGGGAAACTCATGGAATTTTGCTTTTTGAAATGTTGCACCTTTGCAAGACTCTAGGTAGAATGAAAAGATTATGACAGCATCTCATTCAGACCTTTTGAAATAATTTAAACATATGAACTACCAGAATTGTTGGTTGATAGCTGAAGAGCAACAAAGTTGCCTAGTAATCCTACAAAAAATCTCCATAAAGTAGCTTGCAATGTTAATTATCAAATCAGGGAATGTTCCATTATGAAAAAATCATGAGGATACATTCTGTAAAGTTAAAATTACAAATCAGTTCAGAAGATAACCAGAACACAAAATATTCCAAATAACATTTCATTTGTTCCTGTTTTAAAGACTGTTAATCAAGCTTCAGAACAAGACCCTTCATAGCCTCCAATGAAACCTTACCTGCTCCAAACTTACGTGCTACGATTAAAGACAGAAATGCTGTTATGATATTGCACAAAGACAATGTTTTTGTTGTCATGTTTCCCTGCAGAAAAGGGAAAAAAAATCAATCATTGGTTTCCAGTAAAAGCTTTCACAAAAGAAAGTCAGTTTTGCATTACACAGTTTCTGCTAGCAACCTGGTTTCTTTGCAACAGTCATATGTTTCTTAAGAAAGTTTTCAACATATTTTATCTGTTTGTATTATTAAACGAAATTATCTGCCTCCTGGGAAAATACAATCATCTCCAGCATTAAAAAGCAATACTTATGTGGCAATCACAGTACAAAACATTCGTTTTTTTGGCATGAAGGAAAGTGAAGACTAACTTTTGAACACAAAGCAAGACAGTACAAGAGGGATGTGGAGCTACTGGAAAGAGTCCAGCGCAGGGCTGCAAGGATGATCAGGGGCCTGGAACATCTGCCCTATGAGGAAAGACTGAGAGAGCTGGGCCTGTTCAGTCTGGAGAAGAGAAAGTTGAGAGGGTGTCTATAAATACCTTAGTGTCTATAAGTACCTCCAGGGAGGGAGTGAGGAGGATGGTGCTGGCCCCTTTTCAGTGGTGGCCACTAATAGCACTAGAGGAAACGGCCAGAAACTGAAGACTACAAAGTTCCACAGGAACTTAAGGAAAAATTTCTTGACAGTGAGGGTGACAGAGCCCTGGAACAGGCTGCCCAGAGAGGTTGTGGAGTCTCCTTCTCTGGAGATCTTCCAAACCCACTTGGATGCAGTCCTGTGCCATGTGCTCTAGGTGTCCCTGCGTGTGCAACCTGGACTAGATGATCTCTAGAGGTCCTTCCAACCTTAAGCATTCTATGATTCTATGATTCTGTTCATAAAAACATCTACACCAGAGAGATCAGGGGTTCCTTTAAGCTTCCTATCTCAAAATGTGGCCAATAGCAGATGACTTGGAGGGAAAAAAAAAAAAAGTGGAAGAGAGCAGGGATATAGTGGTATTCCTCCCAGACTGGGAATGTCTCCCTCCCTGCCCCCAACCTCCACCAATTTACTATTTAAGGTAATTCATGATTTATGGTAATTAGTACCAAAATTAGTATCTCACTATGTGTTCTGTAATTGTCTGTTAATGACATTTCAATTTGAGACAGGTCCTTCAATGAAAAATGTCCATAACATAATAAATTTCCATAAACATTCTGGCACTGAAATTCTCTGTCGTCCACAATGAATACAAATGCAAAATTTCTTTTTTTTTTCCCCCTCTTAGTTTCTTATGTTTCCACAACTTTCCCTGTGGGCTTTAGGAAGACAACTTGGGTTTTTTTTTGTTGTGTGTGTGTGTTGTTATACATCGACTATTTATTGGCCCTCAGGAATCTTTGGTAGACTTCTTACAATGTGTTTGAGGAAGAGTCTATGATTAACCATCTGCCTGCCTTACTGTTTTTTACCTTTAGCCTACCACAGTTTATACAGCACTACGAAAAGAAAAATGCAACCTTTAGCTGATCACCAATTTATGCCACAGGAAAAGCCGGCACTTCCGGCTGCCGTGTGTCTTACTTCACCAAACTGACTCAGAACTGTGCCGTACATTGAGTCACAAGCTCTGCTTCTTGCAGGGCCTGCTCGCTTGCTTCTTCCCCTCCTCTTCCCTCCTTCCGCATTGCAATCCTCCGTTCTAGTTACTAGGTGGGTTTTTTCTTGTTCAGCTGTACAAAGGAATGAGTCCCTGAAAAAATGTTGAGCGTAAAAAGGAATATAGCAAGTTGAGACTGAAGGGATTCCTGTTTGGATCAGTTCTTTATAACTTCTCTGATTTTTTTTGGTTCTCTTTCATTATAGAATTACCTTTTTCTACTGATGTCTCTGTGTGCTTTCTCAAGCAATTTTTGGACCCCAGCAGTATATCCAGAAGAAATGGAAGTATAGTATATTGCCATGTCATGATAAAACAGTCTTCTAGCATCTCACTTCTCAAGAATCCAATGTTCTATTTAAATCTTTTTCTTGCCCTGTTGCCAACAAGCAAGGGCTGCAAATACACAGGCCCACTCAAAGCCATATGCATGAACTGCTCAGAGCAATTCCTCCATCCTCTGACCTTTTATGAAGTAAAAGCTTCCTTTTATGAGTAAGGTGTATACCGTGCAACAAAAACAGGCTCTGCACTGTGGATGAAGTCATATAATGTATGATAAAAAACAATAAAGCAGTGACAGCAGAGTCAAGTGTAAATGCATTTCCATTCTGCCACAATAAACAGCTACATTTCTCCCTTTTCTTAGCCATTTTGTCCTCTTCTTGAGCTTTCAATTGGCCTGTATATCCTTACCACGCAAGAAAAAAAAATTCATCTGGAGTTATCTTTACCCATTTTTTTTTACCTGAGTCCCTGTTCATAAAGTTTCATCTTGAAAAGAAATATTCTCATCATTTAATTAAATAAATAAGTGTTTAAAAGAGAAGGTCTTCATTGATACAGTCACCTGAATTACAGGACCCATGACAGCACATAGTACGGCAAAATTTACATCAAAATCTGTGATTGAACTGATACCACTACCTTTTCCTCTGCTCTTTAATG